GAATTTTTTTTAATTTTTTCAAACAAGTTTTTATACTGTTTGTAAACATTTAGGTTTGCCTCACTTCTATTTTTTAAGTATTTGATATAAAGTTTTTGTTTTTTTTTGGAGGATTTTTTAATACCTTTGGTGATCCAAGGACATTTTAAATATTTTTCTTTTATTAATTTTTCTTTAATTGGGAAATGCATATTATAGTTTTTTAGGAAAATTTTTTCAAAGTAATTATAAGCAGAGTTTGTGTTCCCAAGGTTGCATTCTTGGTATACCTTGTCCCATTGTTCTGCCGATAGTGAGTCTTTAAATTGTTGAATAGCAAATTTGTTGATTTTCCTTTTATAAATTTTTATTTTACAACTATTTATAGATTTTATATCTTGTGTCAAAGAGAAGAAAACAGGGAAATGATCAGAAATGTCTGTCTTTATTATTCCTGCCTTTAGAGAAGTATCAAAGATTGAATTAGTTAATATATTGTCTATTGCAGTGATTGAAGTTGGAGTTACTCGGGTTGGTTTATTAATAATTGGGAAGATGTAATATTGAAGCATTTCGTCAAAAAAAAGTTTAATATTGGCATTTTTTTCATATTGTAAACAATCTATGTTAATATCACCAATACAGAATATTTTTTTTTGCTCATTGTTGTTTTTTATAAAAATTTGTTTTAAATGATTGGAAAATTTTAATAAATCACCTTCAGGCGGTCGGTAACATGTGGAGACTAATATGTTTTTTGATTTATTGCTAGTTATTTCAATTGTAAAGACCTCACTATCGGCATCTGAGGTCGAAAGGTCTTCTCTTATTTTAGTAATTTGATCATTCCTAATATAAGTTATAATTCCACCTCCCCTTTTGTTAGTTTTTCTTTCAAACGATAATAACTTGTACTTAGGAATTTCTAAACTTGAGTTTATTCTGCATGATTCGTCAGAACACCACGTTTCTGTTATGCATATCATACTGAATAGATAATCACATTCAATAAGAAAATATTTTAGCTTATCCATGTTGTTATTAATACTTCTAATGTTAATGTGTATTACCGTAAAATTACTCTTTAAGGTTTTTAGTTCGTTTTTAAAAGTTTTTATTTCAAAGAAGGATGAGCTAAAATTCTTTTCGTTAAAAAAATGCAAACCAGCGTCAGAAAAGTCATTAAGTAACACATTTGCCGATTTGAAAACATTAAAGTGTAGTTTTTCAAAATCTATTGTTAAGTTCGTCATTATTTAAAATAATTAAAATAGCGTTTCGCTTAATAAAACTTCGCGTGTTTACTTTCTAAAATCTCGACAATAAATTTTATCAAACTTAATAACTGCAAATTTACCTTCGTTGCGTAACTGTTTAACTTCTTCCCATATATATATATATATATATATATATATATATATATATATATATATATATATATATATATATATATATATATATATATATATATATATATATATATATATATATATATATATATATAATATATATATATATATATATATATATATATATATATATATATATATATATATATAGATATATATATATATATATAGATATATATATATATATATATATATATATATATATATATATATATATATATATATAGATATATATATATATATATATATATATATATATATATATATATATATATATATATATATATATATATATATATATATATATATATATATATATATATATAGATACATATATAGATATAGATATTTAAGGAGAGTTGAGTTTTTTCCACATTTTATATACTGAAAACTATTGAGATGAAAAAAAACATTAAACAGATTGAAAAGTACTAATTAATTAACTCAAAGAAGCCTAGAAAATTATAGACATTATATTTAAAATCATTAAAAAATATATTTTTAGGGTGTACAAAATTTTTTTAGGGGGCAGGGTCAAAAAATGTCAAAAATTGCGTGACGTAGTTTATTAACAACCCCTAATTAAAAGTTTTTTTGTCTTTAAAATAGGCAAAGAAAATATCAATTTCTGTTGATGCGCAACTATTAGTATTTCAGTTTTTTGATGCTTTTTCAAAATCAATTTACTCGGTCATAAAGCGTTTTGCAAATGGGCTCTTCATATACCAATAATAATATTGAACAAATTTGACTATAAAATTTGGCATCTTCTACCCCATTCCATCCATAATATATATGTACACACATGTATAAATAAGTATATACATATATATAAGAGTGTCCAAAAAAAATAATTTTTTTGGCCGATATCTAAAATTTGGTTCTTATATAAAAAATGACTAAGTACATCAAAAATATCGATCTGAGACAAGTGTAAGAGCTTGGTGTAAAACCTGAAAATTTTGAAAATTGTCATATTTTTCAAGGTTTTATTATTATTTATTATTTTAAATACACCTAATGAAAAATGGATAAATTATAATAATAGACATGGTTTGTTATTACTTTTTAATAAAGCAGTCATCTTTTACTTATTAATTTTATTTTATTGATCACTGCTATTGGTTATTTAATAAAATTTGATCCAATATATGTCTAAAAATATTTTAACATTTTTAGTTTCATAAATAAATAACTATATTAAAAAAAAAAAGAGATCCTACAAAAAAACTGAACCAAAAAAGAACCAGAGGAAAAAAAAAAGTGTATTGCTTAAAGCAACTTAAGACTATCTCTATATCTGCTAAAATATCCCACAAATGAGCTTGCAGTTAAGAAGCTGCCTAGTGTCAGAAATAACGTTCAATATTTTCTAACATTTTAAAAAAATTCAAGGTAATTTTAACATCTAGTTTTTATCTAATTTATTTATTTAGTTCAATAAATATAAAAATATATTTGAATAAAGTTTCTTTTATATGGTAGCACCAAGCTTTAACATAGAAATTATTGCTCCAACAAAAATATGAACCAGAACTCTAGTTTGTGAGGATAGAGCAATTGGCTATTACCAAGTCGGCATGTAACAGCTATAAATGACATCTGGATAAAAGCTGGTTTTAAGTTCAAAATTGTCAGTGGAAGGCCTATTAGGTAAATTTTACAAATATATTTTTATGCTATGCTTTGCAAATTTACTTTTTTATTAACTTCAGCTATGTAATATTTTTCAGTGATAGAATCCTTAGACTCACAGAAAAATATAATAAAATGAAAGGATTGAATAAACTAAACTGGAGTTCCAAGCAAAGCGAACTGGACTCATAAACAAGTAGAGTTTCAGATGGAGATTAATAACTTCTTTGTTCATAAAATCTGTTCCTTAACTAATTTAAGATTTTCCTTAACTAAATAAAGATCGGAGAAGAACAAAAAAGGCAAAAATCCTTTTGTGAAGATTTTGTGATGATCTTAAAATAATATAACTATGACTGCACAGCAAAATGAAGAGAACTCAACATTCTGCGAAGAAAGGAAACATATAAAAGAGTTACGCAGTTGAATAATAAAAAAAAAACACAGACACAGCTGAGAAAGTTCCTCATAACAAGAGAAGATTGTGCAAACATTTGATGTATTAATAAATTCAATAGAATTTATTAATACATTCAAAAGAAAGGTACAGACAGAGCTTGGGATGGATAAAGCAAGTTTAAAGATGCTGTAGACCCGTTTAAAAGCTCCAATTCATGCGAAGAAAGTACTGATTTTGTCTATAATGTGTCGAAATCAAAAAATCAAAAATAATTTTAGAATTAACACCTGATAAACTAATTGAAGCTACTTTTGCTGTTAGTGTTCGGTATAGAATTGGTGTTAGACCCCATATTGCTATAATTTCTGCCATCTGCAATAAAATTGGTGTTGATTTGCATGAAATTCATTTATGAAGATCTATCTACTCAGAAAAAGATTAAAAATTATTGTTTATCTTGGTAATTATTACTAATAAATGTGAATAAGTGTAAATGTTTCATATCTTTATTATTTTGAATATATAATTTAATTGCTTTAGGTAAAACACTACGACAGGACAATGTTAATGTTTTAAAAGGAAAGAAACTCATAGTCAATTTTGATGGGAAACTTGTTGGACAGCTGGAAGAGGAAAATGATCTGACAGTTACCTGTGAAAAAATTACAGTTAGTGTAAACAGTCAAAATTTGGAATGTAGAGATGATTTCTTGCATTATACAGACAGAAAATTCAACTGGAACAAACTATAGTTATCATTGTTCAGGCAGAAAATTCAACTGGGTTAGAACAAACTCATCTAATCCTCACTTTCTTGGAATGCATTTGTTGAAAATATTGTAGGTGCTATTGAATTACATATTAAACATTTGATAACTGAACTGACTGGTGCCAAGAATAAGCCCCAAAAATTAAAAATTTGTGTGCATTTACAGAAGGCCTGGTCAAAGATTATTGTTTAGATTGACACCTCATCAGATAATCTGGTTAGTTTTAACTGGAATTCTTAACAGGTTGGATCACCTATTTACAAAATAGCCGAAGCAGCATTAATGTCCAGAACATTAATGCTGCTTCGGCTATTTTGTAAATAGGTGATCCAACCTGTTAAGAATTCCAGTTAAAACTAACCTAACGCTAAAATAAGAAATGTTTTCAAAAGAGGAGACTACAAACATCTTTATCAACTTTATGCATACTAAATAGGTGGATATGTTCCTGTTATAAAACTTCATTAGCCAGGAGCTTGCCATGAAACAAGGTTTATGGCCCAGACAGCAAGCTTACATTGGTCCAACGTAAGTTTTAACATTAGCAAGTTTATTCCGTTGGGCCAACATTTAGCCGATGTTTTTTTTCGACGTATTATTTTCAATTCTGCAAATAGGTTTTTTGCAAATATCGTACTATATTGGGCCAACATTTAGCCAATATTTTTTTTCGGCGTAATTTTGTAATTCTACAAATCAGTTTTTTCCAATTATTGTACTACGTTGGGCCAACATTTGGCCAATGTAGTTTAGGCCTAATATTTTGCTATAAAAATCTGTTCTTACATTTATGCCGTAGCCAATATTCGGCCATTGTAGTTGCGGACTAGTATATATTTTAAAATTTTGTTGCAAAACATTTTTAAAATTGGTATCGTTTGACAGAATAAAAAAAGGTTGTTATATTCTTTCCATTTTTTTAAATTATAAAAATAAAATAAAAAAAAGCTATATTTATGAATCTTCTAAGAATCTTAAAAGGTTCCTTATAAGCAATAAATTTCAAGAGATTCTTGTGACTTAATGTTTTGTTTTTTATAATGAAATATTTGTTAACATTTAAAGAATATGCTTAAAACATTTTTTACTACAATCTAAATTATTAATGTAATAATAAAGGCAATAATCAAATTATTTTTGTGTAAGATTGTGTTTGTGTGTTTTTCTGTGTTTGATTGTGAAACCCCATCAACTAACATATTACATTCTCCTAATTTTCATTCTTTACACATTTCTTCCAAAAAAGGTTGTTTTTTTATATATAAAACTAGTAATTTATCAGTTTAAGTTGTTATTTTTTTATTCCAGTTTGCAAGCAAATATTATAAATGTATTTTATGAAGGAAGTGGATGTGGTGGTAATGGTACACACCCTAGTATCGAAAGATTCATTCTAATAAATATTTTTATCATTATTAAAATGAATGAAAATAGTAAATAATAAAACTAATATATAAAATAATACATAATAAAAATTATGTTTTATTAAATTATATATTAGTGACATAAATAAATTATAGGATGTGGGGCGTCACCCCCCCCCCCCCATCTATCACAAAAAAAAAGTTCAAAAACAAAAACTAGCAGTATAAAAAGTGGTAGAATACGCTCCTTCCAAATCTTAAAACTTTAAATTTAATGCTGCTTTTAAATGCTCTAAATGCTAAAAAAAAAAAAGAAAAGAAAAGAGAATGTATACATATGTATAATAAATAAGAACTTACATAATGCGATTGTTTGTGTGGACTAATAATAACGCTACATATAAAAAACGACAATAACATAAGAAATTATGTTTTAATTTATAACTTATTTCTTAACTTTTAGTAAATGATTAAAAACAGTTCGGGTCACCTTTAAGCAAGAAAACTAAGTTATATATATAATATAGAGAAGAAAAATATGTTAAATTAAGGCTTCTGATACTTTTTAGAGTAAATGGTTAATTTATTTTAACTGCCCTTGTAGCGTAGTTTGTTAAGCTGTATAACAATGTTTGCTCCCTGCCAAACAGTTTCCTTTTTAATGTTTCCAATGCTTTAAGTGAAGACTTATGCAAGCAGAGGTCATTGTATCCAATGGGTGAAGATGGCAGTTTAGTAACTGTTTAACAATTTCTGCCACTAAGTATTTAACTTAGTGATAGTTGCATGGTTTGCTGCCACATGGTCAATCATCATATTACTTATATTAGCAATAATTGTACTTCGTACTTCAATATATTGTTGCTCGTAAAAATTACTATACAACTTAGCAAGGTGATCTACAGACTGTGTAATATGACTCTGATAATAATTAGCTGTACCCTAAGCAAGTTGGTCATAGCCACAACCATGCATCGTGTTTTGGTTGTAAAGTGCACAGCATTTATATGGCCACCCTCTTGTGTAGTAGCATCAAAGCTCGAGGTCATATTTTTTGTTGCAATAGCTATTTCAGCAGTCTGCAGATCTAAACTCCAAGCTCACGCATCATCTGCTCCACAGTTGTACGATGCGGAGTTTCAGTTGTTGAACATTTATTTTAAAAGTATACAAGTAAAACATGTCCTTTAAGACATACCTGATATGAAAAAGGTAGTTTAAGATACTCTGATTTCAAATGATTCAACATTAAACATTTCTTTGACATTTTAAAAACTCTAGGTACAAGTATAAAAATTTAATTATATTATTTAGAGCACTAAGGTGTAAATAAATAAATTATATTTATTTAATATAGAGAATAAAATAAACATAGTAAATAATTCACAAAATTTTATTGTAATATGTTTGATAATATTAACGCTGCATGTTTAACATGTTACCCTTCTTGACATGTTTAACATGTTACCTTTCTTGAAGGAGAGTTTTTGTAGACGTTCATAACTTATAGAATAACAAAGCAAATATAATATATAACTATTTATAATTCTATACAGTATATAATAATAAATGTAATTTATTTAATAAACTATTAAAATTAAATTAATTTTAATAGAATATAATTACTATTGCAATAGTCTAGCAAAAAAATATATTTGGATTAATTATTTAATGAGTAAATATTATTTAACATCATTATTTAAAATAATGATGCAAATATTCGATAAAAATAATTTAATACTTTGAAAGAATAATCAAAAATACAATTAATAGTATAACTAAAAATTTATATATCTTCAAAAGATTCGAAAAGGATTCTTTTTAAGAATCCACAAATGCCACAAGTTTTGCACAAATGCCACAAGTTTTGCACCAATCAGAGTTTTAAAAACTATCATGTGACCTCAAGAAATGAAAAAATGCGAACGCAGCGTAACAAGGCAAGAAATCCAGCATTTCATAGAAATACCTAGGGTGCTTGGGGAAACCCAAAACCAATGTGCGCTACAGCTGATTAATATAAAAATTGTACCAATATTAGACAAATAAATGATCTACAATACCTTTAAGTTTCATAAAGTACCTGCCATAATTTACAGAGTTGTGATTCATAGAAAAAATGTGCCAACTTATGATGAAAAAATATGTGTTTTTTTTTTTGTAAAGTAGTGTAAAAATGTATCAAAATTTAGACAAACCTTTTTCCTAACTACGTGCAAAATTTTAAAAAAATTGGTTAATAATTAGCGGTACAGTTTCGTTTGCCCTAATACGTGTCTTGGCCAAATAACAAAAATCGGGTGACAGATTTTAGCTTGCATTTTTACGGCAAAATATGAATTTACGCACGTACCAAAGTGATGTTACTAGAATTTATATTCTACTTATGTAGAGCTTTCTAATATAGCCAGACATTTTATTTTAAGACCAATGACTAGCCTATAATAATTGATTGAATTATGAGATTAAATCAATAAATAATCATTAAAAACAATTTAAATAAAAAACTCAATTTAAATCATTATTTTTAATTGTCTGATTTAAATCATGATTTAAATCGAAACAACCCTATATATATTTTGTCTTTCTAAGGCAGAGGAACATTATTCTTGGTTTTATTATTTTTTAATATAATATCTCTGGATATTTTTCATATTTAGTTTGTGTACAACAGTTAACAACTTTAAGCTTATACATTAACTTTAGTTATAACTTAATTATTAATAATTTGATTTATATTTTTTTGTAGCAATACAAGATTAAATTTAGCAGAAGGCTAAATTTCTGCTCTGGAGACAAATATAGAAGACAGCAAAAATGACCAGCCAAAATAAAGATTAAAGAGACAAAAAATTGTGTATATCTTGGTGTAGATGATTTATCCTCAATTTCTTATAATAAAACAAAAAATATTATTAAACTTTGGCATTTACCTGTAACTCCAAACTCTTTACAGAAGTTCAATGATTGTTCTGAAAAGTTAGATGAACAAAATTTATTAAAGGGTAAGTTTTTATATAAAAGTCTTTATGTCTGATGATTGAAAATCTTTATTCATAGCTTTAACTTTTACAATTTTAAAGACTTTTTCATATATTACGGTCAAAAATTCAGAGTGTTAATTAACATTTTATTGTATAATAATCAACATATCAAAGCTTACACCACAAGCTTGGTCGGGAAGCGGGAGCAATCGCTCTCTAATACTGACCACCAAAATTATATTTAGTTGCAAAAAACTGGCCAGGCTTTTTAGTCGTTTTTAGAACATTTAAGTTTATGAACGTAACAAAAATTTTTGTTAGATTTCAAAGTGGTGTCACCAACTTTGAAATCCATTTGAAATCAACTATAATAGACGAAGGTAATACAGTATTTTTATAGATGATATTATTTTTAAAAATTGTATTATTAAAATTCAGAACTAAAATATTTAAAAAAAAATTATTTACAAACATTGAACAAGATCTGTACTGTACCTAGAAAATCTGGAAAATATGTTAATATTGGTTGTGGAAAACCTGGAAAAGTCAGGGAATTATTTTTTTCTTTAGATAGTCATGGAAAAGTCAGTAATTCTAGTTAAGAAATTACTCGTTTCACAATTGAACACTGTATTTCAAAAAGGTGAAGAGTCACACTTTTTTTAAAAGAGAGGTTATTTAAAAAGAATATTTTTTTTAGGACAATATAAAATTATAATATAAAATAAAGATTTTTTTTAGATTTTTTAGATTTTTTTTAGAAACAATTTTTAGATAAAATAAAAATAAAATTTTTTACAGGAGAAATATTATTCACTCTCCTGTAAAATTTTAATTTTGTGACTTGTCACATTTTCAAAATACAGCGCTCAATTAAGCTATTACGTTTTTTTTTTTGCTACCTATTTATTTTTTCTGAAACTTATGTTTTTCTTGGTGTTCATTTTTTGTCATTCTTAATAATAAGATCCATACTAACATGTATAATAAGCTTCATACTAATATCCAACTTAACTTATAGCTAAGTTTTATAAGTTTTGTCATTCAAAGCATGTACAATCTTAGCATTTCCATTACAGTAGATAGTGATTTTAAACATTTTTCAAAAACCATTGTTAAAAACAGTCAGGGAAATTCATCTGATTTTTCAAAAAAGTCATTGAATTTTATATATGTAGTTGGCTACGAACCCTGTTAGAGAAACATTGTTTTAATATGAGTTTTTTTGTTTTACAGTGCAATCTGTATCTCAAACATTAACGAGAATTATTTTGTGTCAGTGCCAGAAATATAAAATTATTATGATTGCACTCTAAGTATATATTTTTATCATTAAAAATTTGCCCCTCTGTCTTTAATTTTATCTGTTTTATTAGTAATTGTTGTATTTACTTTCATAAATTCTAAATGAAATATGTAATTAGTTGCATAGTTTCTTAATAATAAAATTAACTTTATTGTTTTAAGATAAAGTTGTATCCTTGAAAGATTTGCTGGTATTATTGGCACAATGGGCAAGCATTGAAGTGCAACTTGGTGAACTACAAAGCACATCAAAAGCAGTTATGAAAATTTGAGTAACAAAGGTATGCTAATTATTGTATTACCTAAAAGAAAGTCATTGCCATTAAAAGCAGTGAAGAATTCAAGTACTCTGGAAGAAAAAAGACAAGAAAACACTTAAGTAAATGGTAAATATTTTTTAATGATCAGTTGATGCATTTTGTATGACATCTTAGTACAATTTATATACTTTAAATAAAATACTCTATGATGATTTTTTGTAAATGACATTTTATATTAATTTAAGTCTAAACAAAAGTTACTTTAATTATTGCCAGTGACCGTATTCTCATCTCTCCGTTAAGCTTAACGGAGCGTTTGTCAAAAAGTTCTTTTTTACTACTTTAATTTAAAAAATTCTTTAAAAATATAAATTTTAAAATAAAATTGTTTTATTTTAGTATTAGTTTTAATTAAACAAATTTAAATAAAGTTTTTGTCATTTCTTTACATAAAGATGTTGTAACAAAGTTTTTGACAAACGCTCCGTTAAGCTTAACGGAAAGATAAGAATATCTCCCTCATTCTTTTAAAACTGAAAACTCAATTTCTCGATATATTTTTCTGAATAAATTATAAAAAAACACTATTTGGATAGCTACTAGAATAATAACATCGATAAAAGCAATATATCGCTGTTAATAGTCTTATTAAAAAATACTCTCTTTTGTATATATTTCTTATTTTGAACTTTTTTTTTTTAAGTATCTTTACATTTATGTACAGCTTTTTTATCGTCCTTGTACAATAATTGAATGTGTATGTACGTATGCATGTGTGGGTATATGTATGTGTATGTGTGTATGTTTATGTATTTGCATAAGTATATGTGTATGTGTGTATTTATATATATATATATATGTATATATATATATATATATATATATATATATATATATATATATATATATATATATATATATACATATATATATATATATATATATATATATATATATATATATATATATATATATATATATATATATATATATATATTTGTATGTGTATGGATATATGTGTGCTTTTGTATATATATATAAGCGTATGTGTGACATGTATGTATGTATGTATGTATGTATGTATGTATGTATGTATGTATGTATGTATGTATGTATGTATGTATGTATGTATGTATATGTACGTGTATAAGTATAGATATATTTAATTATAGGGTAACAAGGGGCAAAATGTGACACTTAAGCTCTAACTTTTCTAATACAGGCCGTCTAAGAACTTTTGAAAAAAGTCATTAGTTACATAAATCACATAATGCTTCACCAGTATTAACAGAAACTAACATCAATCTTAATGAGCCTAAATTGTACATTTTAAACATTGACTCTACTTCAATACTTTTGCAGCCATACACCATAATCCATTACAAAAACATTCCCATTTTTCAACACTTAAACTTTCAGCTCTTTCTTTACTCTTTCCTAATGCACATTTAATTTTTATTTTTTTATTCTTTTAACTTTTTGGATTTCAGAGGATTCATATAGTGATTTTCTATAATGTGATGTTGTTATTATATGTGGTTCTTCTCTTTTTTTTGGTAATAAAGTGATCTTTGAAATAGCTAAAATATTAGCAAAGCAAGGTATTACTACATTAAAATCAATATTTTCTGAACATCCTGACAACAAAGGTAATAAGGTGCTTGAATTAACTTGTAAATCAATTTTATCAGATTTATGTAGGTTAGCATTAGAGCTTTTGCCATTATAAAACTTAATGTCTGGAATTATATCCTGACAAAAAAGATAAATTCCAAATGTGAGAAAGCCAGAACAGACAACTTCTACAGAGGCAGCTTTATGATATGCTTTAAAGAATATAAATTGATCATTTGTTATTATTGTCCGGGCTGCTCATGTAACCATAATTCACATTATGTATTATGAAAAGTTTAAAGTGGTTTAAAACAACAGTTGTCGTTACACCTCGTTCACCACTAGTTACAGAAGAAACAAAATGTTTTCCTTTATATTGTTATAACTTTAACAGAATTATGAACAGTTTTAATGCCTGATTCATCACAGTTAAAAATTTGATGAGGTTCAAACTTGTACTTTTTTATAACAACTTCTATATTATTGAAATAAATGTTCACAGAACTGCTGTTTAAACAAGAAACACAATTTAAAGACAACCCTTAAGACTTTTTGATTGAAAGGTATGGATGTCTCTTTAAAAACCCACTTAAAATATAGTTTCTAAATAAACATGGTTGATATCAGCAAAACAAAAAAACTAAAATGTCTCGTTTTGCCCCGCAACATGTTAGCATCGAAATTGTGTAATTTCCTGACAATTTTGTCATCGAAATAAAATATCAATATATGGAAATGATAGAGCAATGCCTAGAGATGATAATAAAACATTAACTTTGAACATAAAATTTTTTTCCACTCCGTAAGATAAAAAAACACTTAGAAAAATTAAAACAACAACGCATCGAAATTTGTAATTGTCATATAGCCAAGAGATGAAATGGTTGTCGTTCTCTTCATCTTCTTCATTTCAAAGTGACTCAAGATATTTTTTGTAACACTAAATAATTTAAGAACACAACTAAGCTTTTAAAAACCATTAAAACAATAAATTGAAAGGTTAGGATTATTATAAATGCGATCTATCTCATTTTGCCCTGCTATCTCATTTTGCCCTGCTGTCTCATTTTGCCCTGCTGTCTCATTTTGCCCCGTCTTACCCTACTATTGTTATTATTATCATTGTTATTATTGTTATTACCTTTATTTTTATAAATATCATTATTTATTAATAATATCATTATTTTTATTGATACTATTTTTTTTATTGTTATTAATACCATTTTTATTATCATAGTTATTATTAATGTTAATATTATTGGTAACGTTATGATTTTTAGAGTTGTTATTATTTATTATTAAAATCATTATTATAGGTGTTATCTTAGTAATTATACTATTTGTAAACATCCTTGAATTGTAAAATCAAGTAATTCAGAATATATTGGTTGATTGAATGATTGATATCACCAGTGTTCTCCAAATGAAGGTGGTTTGAATGAAGACGACGGTGATTACGTCACATCGTAGTTTTTGAAACCTTTTTTTTTTCTTATTTAAGACGCAAGAACACATTACATTGAGGTTTTATTTTTTGTTTGTTTTTTAACGGGTTTTTTTATATTACTTAAATAACGAGGGTATATATAACCCCTAGAAATATTGTATTTTATTATAAAGAATTTTATAAGGATAAGTTTACATACTATAACAGATGTTTTAACTTGGTTAAATTATATAAAAACTTATCTAAGATTTTAACTTTTAAAAATTATATTAAAAATTAGAAATTTTTTTTTCTTACCGAATTTCACAAAACAAAAAAACCTTCGATGTTCATTTAGCAGATGCTACCGGGCTCAAAAAAAAAAGTCATTTGGGGCACCAAAGAAAACAAGAAGGAACACATAAAAAAAGGCCTTTTAAATATAAGTAGTAGTTTTTTTAATTTTTATTGTAATTAGGCAACTGTTTTATTACTTTTGCCATTATCACATTTGCTACGTCACTGGTTAATAAAATTAAAAATATATTTTTCAATTAATTTAAAAACGTTTTTTCAATTAACAAAAAAATACTACTTTGCTTTAAATGAGCTTTGTACATTTATCGGCAATTCTTGCAAGTATCGTTGACCATTGTAGAACAGCAAGATCCACACGACCAATCGTCACCTGATTGGCAACGCATTCATAATTGTCGCTGAGCCGTAATTTTATCTCCAAAAAAAAAAATGTCACAAGCTTGATATTTTTTAGAACTCAAAAAAACCGTCAGTTAATTTTGAAATTATGAACAAATTTTTTATTCAACTAAAATACTATGGTACGTATCCATTATAAAAATGTCAAAATTTACTGGTAAATTTACAGGTAAAGTTACCGGTAAATTTTACATTCGCAACACTTATCAACATTTCACAATGTTACTGCTAATTGTCTCCTTCTAGTCTGGTCGCTACATGTTAAAAAAAAAAAGAAAACTAAACATTTTGAGTGGACATTCTAATTTTTATATAGACTTGTTCCTTATAACTTGAGAAGTTTAAAAATTTTTACGTGCCGCTTGGAAAGTGCTTATAAATTAAGTTAGAGACAAAAATTGATGCAGATTATTGAAAAGATTTTAAGTATAATTTATCCGCCATGTTGTTTATAAATCCAATACCGCAAAGCATTAACTTAGTTTTATCAAATTTTTGACAGGCAGTTAATTATTTGTAAAATTAGCTTTTTTAAATACAATTACATAAATCTATATAATTAAAATTTCATAAACCTTATTTAGAAAAAAAAAATTTATAATTTTTTTTTTAATATTGTATAAAAGATATGAAATAATTTCAATTTAATAAATCTAAAAAATAAACAAAGTTCCCGTTCTTTGTTTACGTTAAAAAATGTTTACTTTTCAAAAACTGTTTGCTTTTTTTAATGTTATCAAAGTTCTTTTTAAAATTAAAGAATTACCGTCATAAATGAAAAAAAGAAATCAAAGTCGTTTTTATAAATAAAACAAAATATTTGCATAACAAACTGAAATCAATTTAAAAGAAAACGGTTGTTGCAAAAATATAAAACATAAAACTAAAAAAACGTGTTTTATTTTTATTTATTTATTATTATTAAACTTAACAATGGCGAGAAGCCAAAAAATGCAGCTTTTAATCTGGTTCCTAAAAAATTAATTAAAAATGCTTGTATACTTCATTAAGGTGAAGTTGCTCGTAATAATAACAAACTGCGTGGTTTTACTGAAAATGCGCTTGAGAAAGTGACTCGTGCATTGCAAACCAAGCATTGTGACTTACAGTGCTTGGTAAGTCACAAACTAAATGAACAACTCAATTTATTTTTTTATATACGCTTTAAACAATGGTATGGAAAAAACAATAAATAGCGTAAATTTGATGATAATATATTTTTTTTTACTATCGTCAAATTCGAAATGACTTTAAAATCATAAACATTCTAGCTGAAATTCAGGTCCCGTATCCAGCATTATTTGGTCTTCGAGATATCTAACTTCCTGACATGGAGCAAACTCCAAACATTTATATGTTTATACTTATGTTAAATAAGGATGCTTTGCAAAAAATTGCGATGATTGGAGCTTGGGAACAAAAAAGCCCAAAAATTTGTGCTTTCCTGCCCCAAACGTGCGAGCAACAAGTTGATGAAATATTTTTGTACTATTTTTAACTAGACTTATATTTATCGATAAATTTTAAATTTCATAGTAAAATATTTCAGCGTTCAAAAATTATAATAATATAAAATTTGCGACCCCCTCAAACTGAGGGGGGTTTAAACTTTATATGGTCAAAGACCATATAAAGTTTAAACCCCTATCTCGAAGACCAAATAATGCTAAATACGGACCTGCTGATACGTGCTCAACAACTTTCTTGTTTCATCAAAAAAGTTAAGATCAGAATGTAAATATAAAAAACATTAAACATTTTATAACATCGAAAAAATAGAGCAGAAAAAGTCAACGAGAGTGTAGGCGTGGATAATGCATCCTCATTTAAGCGCAGAATCTCAGATCGGAAAAAAGATAGATCAAGTAAATTAAAAAACCCTTAAGTATGAAATGCAAAGCAAAGAATATTGCCCTCAGTTTTCACATTTTTTTTTATGTTTTATATACTACTTAAAAATTAAAATAATTGCTTTGTTTCAGGAAAAATTATTGTGGATCAAAAGTGTTGCATTTGCTATTGCAAAAAGACTAATAAATATAAGAACGGATATAAAACTAAGATTCTGGATAAAAAGACTTTAATGAATGCTGTAGTTGCAGAACTTGCGGTTTTGTTCAGTTGCGGTCACCAAAATAGGGTATTCTTTCTTATGCAACAATACCATTGAGAAGGGGAAAATCGTTGAAGTTTTTTTAAAAAAGATTGAGAATTTAGAAAAAAAGAATAATCCAAAACCGATTAAACAGCTTATCCATCATGTCGCACAAGAGATTCGCAGCGAGGTTTTGTCTTTAAAAAAAACATACTTTAAACTGCTTATATATTATATATCTATTGGTTTCGAAACCGTTTGCATTCACACGGATATTGCTATTTATGCTTTGTACTTTCAAAACCAACTTCAAATAGAATTATTTGTGGATATTGGCGTCTCTACTGAAAGACGGACTCTTGATATAAATCTTATTGCCTCACAGTTAGGTACTGATTGTTGTAATGCTAACTATGTAATCTGCCAACTAGGGATGCTCTTATGTGTCATTGCAAGAGAGTTTCGTATCAAATAGCAATTGTCAAAAAATCATTGGAGGCAAATCTCAATATTCCAAAACCCATCGGATATGGATGGCGAGAAATTGGCAATCAACTTAAGATTAAACTGATGCTCAATTGGGTGTCGTCCCAATCATTTGGGACGACACCTAAACAGAATATTATTCAACTGATTCAAATTTTCCCTTTTAAAAATCTGTTCACAAAATTTGTTTCGCAAAATTTAAAAAAAATTATCAGCGTGACGTCATGAGTACCAAACACGGGCCCGAATTTGACCCTTTAAGCACTATTAGAATTGCTCGTAAGTTTTTCTCAAGATTTTATTATTTATTATAAGGCTTTGTCAAGAGATTATCTAACGTTTGACGTAAATATATATTTTTTATTTTGATAAAAAAAAGTATACCAGCGTGACGTCATCAGTACCAAATAATGCCCCAAATTTGACTCTTTAAGCACTTTCAGAAAGATAAGTAAGTTTTTTTCAATATTTTGTTATTTATTATAAGGTTTTGTCAAGATTTTATCTAACTTTTGAGGAAAATATGTTTTATTTAGTTTGATTTTTCGAAAAAATGTCAAAATGACGTCATCAGTACCAAATAAGGGCCCAAATGTGACCCTTTAAGTACTTTTAGAAAGACATGTAAAGTTTTTCTAATTCAAGATATCAATGTTAAACTATTTAAGTAGTTTTTGTAATGTCCACTTCATTTCCAAGAAAAAGTTACACAGAGCGTCCAGACTATTCGTTGTTTATTCGTGAATGACCGAAGTTAGAGTATTTCAAAATTTCACTAATTTTTATAAAAAAGTAGTTAATTTTAAAAAAATAATAATTTTTTTTGTAAATATAATTAATTTGGTGATTCTTAATAATACTAAGAATAAATATGTATATATAAATATCATTTATTTTAAAAATTCGCTTATTTTTATGCAACTTTAGATTTTAAAAGTATGCATTTTTTCAAATGGTTGTTTTGCTAAAGACTTATTTCAGCAGGTTGCATAAAAACATTATTTTTTTTTTTTATTGATTCATATTTACAAACTAATTACAAATTTTATTTAAGAAAAAAAAGTTTGTAAAATTTGAGTTTTGCATGTTTTTTTATATATTTTTTCTTAAATAACCGAAGTTACATGGTGACTGAACTTACATGGTGAACTGAACAATCTTACTGTATAAGTACTATACTGTATTTACTAATACTAAAATATATTTACTGTATAAATTATTGAAGAATCATTAAACATCATTATTCTTATATAAATAATAAATAATAACATTTTTTTGTATAACAGTTTAATGAATGCTTTTGAGTCACATTCCGAAGTTTTGATTTTCGGCGAAAATCAAAATTTCGGAATGTGACTCAAAAGCATTCATTAAACTGTTATACAAAAAAATGTTATTATTTATTATTTATATAAGAATAATGATTAACAACCCTAGTTTAAGCTTGTGTTTTCCAAGTTTTTACATAAATTTCATTAGCATTGGGTGAACGCCAACACAAAGTAACTTTTACAAATTGATGTATATGTGTTTATGAATAATTTTGTTATCATAAAAAACCAAATAAAAGTTTGGCACATGCAAAAGAAAAAGGTAGAATTTTCTAACCGTAGAAGTAATTTGTATACTGCTATAGAAAGAACTTTTTACCCTAACTTATTGGGTGTTAATATAATAAACCATAGTCTAAGTATGTTGAATTGACACTATTAAAAGCACGTGTTACAATAAGATGCTAACAACTAGCTTAAAATTTTTTGCTAACACGTAATATCAGTAGCAAACTTATGTAATTTCTACCTCTAG